CTAACATTTTTTAAACCCGTTTTATTATCGGTCTAATAGAGATTTGACGAAAATTTAACAAAAAAAAGCGAGGAAAAGTCGGTTTTTTGTGCTTAGATGTATTCAAATCGCTCAGCTGACGTGACGAGTCAATTCTACAGGCAACAATACATAAGAAAATGTATTGTCTAAATTAATTATAGTAATACAACTATAACTGGCAAGATAACGTCGAGTTTGCGATCTCCACTTAATTTTGCCTGACGTTTTTATACTTTAAAAATATATAGAGACCGGTTCCCGTTACTTTTTGGCAGCAACGTTAATAATCTTTAAGAATTTTGATACTGTGTCGTTAAATTTTTAATCAAATTTTCATGAGGTGTTATTTTCAAAGTTAATAAGGATTGCCTTGCTATGAGAAAGTGACAATGTATCTATTGCGACGGACAGCCTACCCCGGGTGGGTAATTCAGCTCGACTGCCGTGCACTTTATTTATGGGGGGCCCGCTTTACCTGACTCGAGTCCCAGAGGGGATATTGGGCCCGTCACCAGAACGGGCGAGCCATGAGACCGTTCACTCACCTTCCTTCGCCTAGGCTTCTGATACCTGAAATTCTCGAATAGGTCAAGCGAAATGAATTGACACGCGTTCCTTTACGATTAATTGATTTATCTTTATTTAAGGCCCACGAGGGCAAACGATAACAAATAATACGCGACTTACAATCTTCGGCTTACGATACGGCCCCGTAGCCGCTTACTCACGCGTTGGGCACTTTCTGATCGCCCACGAGGGCCGAGACTTGCTTGCACGTTACTATCGGCCCAGTGTCGTCGCTACGACACTCGCGTGGCCTCACTTACACTAACACACTTGCTCACACACACACACACACACACGGGCGGCCCGGCAGCCGCGCCGACCAACGACTTAAAAATATCTTACAATTACCCCAAGTTCTTCGGCGCCTCGCTGCTGCACTGATGACCTATCGTCGATGCTCTGGGTGTAGTCTTCTTGGCCCAACTACTACTGCTGCCCGCGTCCGGGCTTCGGCGTACCTCCACGTGTGTTGTCTACATTCAAACTTCTCGTCCTCTTTCGGGCTCTGCGCACCTCACTCGTGCGATTCTGTCTGCCCGATCGGACGAGTCTGCTCCGACGTGTCTTGCCCACCTGGGCTTCGATCTGACTCGTGTATGCAATTTCCCACGGGCACTACACGGGCACTTGCTCACCCGCGTCACAACGACAACTTCAGCAATCACTTCGGCAACTTCGGCTTCACGCACTAGCTCGCGTTTTCCTGCGTCTTTCTATCACTCTGCTTTTCGCGTAGCCTTCTCACTCGCCAGCGTATTCTAATCTGCCTGCCTCGTAGCGAAAGGAATTCGCCCGGTGTCTGCTCGGCTCTTTTCTGTCCTTCTCGCACGTGTTGATACTGGGCCACGCTCCTGGCTTCACATCATCAGTCCGATGGGCCACTGCTTATCATCTACCTGAAAACGCGCGAGAGAAGGGAGACACACACGCACTCACTCATACATACGCGCGTGCGGCAGTCTTGGCGCGACGCATTTTCTGCGAGTGCTCGACTCGCTTACTGACGGCTTGTGCTCCGTCACAACATCTATTATTTTTTGAGTGATTGCTGGATCTAAGCCATGACCTTTCTTCTGGCAAGTTTCGGCTAAAATGCCACCCGATGTGTTCAAATCTTTTGATTTTTTTGCAAAGTTCCTACTGCAATTAAACTCTGTGGCGATTTTATTAGTGCTCCAACTATCTGGAGCATACTGTGAAGATTCGTAACCTTAAAGGATCATTAACCCCTAGTGAGCTGAATTTATCTTTCAAAGCTTGTAGCATACTTTCAAGTTCTCTTTCTCGTTCAGAAGGAACGCAATTTGCAGTTGTACTTGAAAAAAAAAAGAAAATAGTATATTATGATACGTGTGACTTAAGGAGTTGCATAGGGTTGTGTGATGACAATGATTTTTTTTTTTGAAAAATTACATTTTTAAAACCAAAAGTTCATTCAATCAATTAAAAATTTTGGCACAACAAATTTTATCCATTAGAGAAGCTGCAAAAAATTTTCAGATAAAAATATTGAAAATTGTTGATTTTTAATCGATTTTTCTCGGTCATCTTGTTGTCCTGCGGTATGCAGTATATTTCCTGACACGATCGTCGGAAACCGAAAATTTGACTTATTTCTCAAAGTTTATACTTTTGGATTGAACGAAAGAAACGTAAAAAAAATTAAAATTGATAATTTGGCACGAATTCGAATGGAAAATTGGCTTTTTTGAACAGATAAATTTTTTTAATTAATAGGTTTCATTATTTTCGTTTTATTTCCAAAACAAAGCAACTTTTTCAAAAATTGATTGCACCATTGGAAAGACGAGAAAAAAAAATACACAAAAATCATGTATTTGTTTATTTTTATGGCGAAAGTAACCGTGAAAGACAAAGAAACGTAAAGTGTAGCAAAAAAAATAGGCCGCGGCGCTCGAAAACGGCCGACCACACGCTCTTTCGATCGATAAAATCGCGAAATCGTTCGATCTAATTACTCAAAATACCAATCAGAGTTGAACTCTAGAAGTTAAAACGTGCTTTATCTTCAAGTCCATTTTTTGAAGTTATGGAGGCATATTTTTGAATTTTCAACCGCACCAGTAGAAAGCAGAGGTAAAAATCTATCGAAAACCCATGTTAATTTATTTTTCTAAATTTTATTCAATCCTTTGCGAGCGAGTTGAAAACTGAGCAATCGGGCCGTTTTTGCTGTCCACGCTAGGGCATTATTGGTGTTTTTACACGTACCTATGTGGCAAAACCCTTTCAAGTGCCGCACCGCACGGCATTATTTAGTCGAAACGCTAAATTTGTAACTCACTGTAAATTTACCTAAATGCGCCTAGGAAAAAAACCAGCCCATCCTTTTGATGATAAATTGCCTCAGTTTTTTGATAGCAAGGTCGAATTTCCCAATCTCTGTAAGATATAGCGAGAGATAAAAGAAAAAGCGTGCTTTTGGCGCGCGCGCCCCGCCAGTCGGACATACAAAAACCCCGAAAAAACACCCTTTTTTTCTTTCTCTCGTTGTATCTCGCTAAAATAAAAAAAAACTACCCAGAAAATGCTTATAACGATAAAAAATTTCCTGATCTTTCGATCTAAACTATTTAAAATAAATCTTAAAAATTAAGTTTTCGAGATAATCGACTTTACAGTTTTTCGAGCGATTTTCCCGGGTAAAACGGAGTGCATGGGCGGAAAGAATAGAATGAACTCAATGAGTTGCGAGAGATAGTGCTGCAGTATGTAAAAGCAGCGTATGAAAAGCAATCGGAGTACTATAATAAGAATAGAAAAGATGTGATGTTTGAAATTAGAAATAAAGTTTATCGTCGAACGCATCATTTGTCACGCGGAGCAGATAATTTTAACGTCAAATTAAACGAGAAAGTTGGTGGGCCGTTCAAAATTGTCAGTAAAAAGGGCAAAAATGTGTATTTTATTAAACGATAAAAAAAGAGAAGGAAGCCGGAGGTACGTGTATGCATTTGCGCCTTTGGGTTCCACGGAGGTCGCTTCGCGATCGACCAGCATGATATCGTGATGTTCAAGTGACGTCGATATGTGTGCCAAGCGTGTGGATAATTTCATAAATTAATTGTTTTTTGTTGTGTGTTTTTTTATTTTTTCTCTCTTGTAGATACAGTTCAGTAACAACAATGAGCAGCAGAGGCGTTCGTTCGTGGCAGCTGTCAGAAGAGGAGGTGACAAGAGTACTGTACTGTAAATCCAGCCATCAAGGGACGTGTGAGCGATGTCGTTAAGCTCAGTAAGAGACGCCAGCGAGGAGGCAAAAGCCAGTCACCAGGCGGTGGTGGAGCTGGATGCGTACATCTAATGGAACTCGGCATCCCCGCTCGCTTTCGTCCCGAGCCGGAGGAAATGGAGGTGGTAGTAGTCTCGGGTGAACTCATCCTGATTCCTTTCGGTGCTTCGATGGAGACGTCGGGGGACACACAGGACTGGGTAGAGGTCGTGGACCTTGGAGGTTTTCATTGATTTTTAGAAGAGCTGCTCACCTGCTTCGTCGTATTAACATTGTTAGTCAAATGGCGGAGGAGGGGATGCTCGTGATTACGGCAATAACGAGCGATGTTCCTCTCTTTTCCGCAATATTTCTGGACGCGGTGCCTTACAATCACACCTAAGATGTTCCGATTCATTTAAAATATAGGCGTGGTGGTTGGCTTGCTGCCCATTTGGCTATCTTGGCCTCAGTTATAATCGTGAGATCGATATCTATCTCGAGAGATTTAGGGCTCTATCGATTTACTTTTTCCTCCACTTTCTTACTGAGTCCCCGAGTGAAGCTTTCCAGAGCAGAAATTGCAACACTTTCAAGGGCACCTGGCACGAGGTTCAGCGCGAGATTATCTCGTATGTTATCAGATGCAGCTTGTTTGTGTCGTCAAATTCTGAGGCCGTAATTTACGACCTGTTTGTCGGCTCCTAATAAGGCCCAAGATAGATTTCCGAACAAATCAGATAACTATTTTTGGGAGGCGCTCTTAAGTTCGTTGTAAATTTCCTCATCGGTTACAAAATTTTGTGCTACGAGTAGCTACTGGCACAGTCCTTTACATAAGCTTTTAACAGTACAATGAAAAAATCGTTGTCAGCCAGTCCGAGAAAACATTCTATAACCTTGCAATCGTGAGTAAATTGAATAACCAGCATGTTTTTTCCGTCGAAATGGGGCATGACATTCTCTATTTTCGCGATTCTGCTATAGCTAGGGGTTTTTACGTCGTAGATAAATTTATTAAGAGGGAATGGAGCTATTTTTTATTCTTGATGAAAGCGAAAATATTTTGTCTCTGTTGGAATCTAGAACTATAGAACGCCTCTAAATTTTAGTTTTGATCAAGTGGTTTATGAATGAGTTTTTAATAAAATTTGTCCAAAATGAAATGGAAATGTACGGATGAGTATTGAGAGTTTCATCATTTATTCATACATGTTAAAACAAAAGTTATAATGTAAAATGTTACAAATAATAAGTCGTTAAAAACTAATGATCTAGAAGCGCTTGCACTATTACTTGACAATTTTTCTAGTGTAGGAATTTTAGAAACTTCGATAGAATTTTGGAAGTCAATCAACCAATCGCTTATTACGTTTTTTACACTGGCATGAATTCCCAAAAAATTGTCTTTTATACATTTTTTATAATACAAAAAATTCACTTCTTTCATAGCTTGGCAGAGTGGAATACTATTCAAACTATTTTCAATCGTACTATTAATTTTATCTCCAACTTCCATCCAGTCAAATCCAAGTTGTAAAAATAATTTTGATTGATACTTTTCAGAATTGAAATGAAGTAATGTATCTTTTAGATTCGAAAGAGACTCTTTTACAAAATTTAAATTAGATTCCGAATTTTCGTCAATCGGAGATATGGTGTTTATTTCATTAAATATGCGTTTGAAAATATTATCCATGAATGCATTACATTCAAAAGTTTCTGGTCCTTCAAAGACACCTTCGTTAAAGAATTGGCATAGAGTTAATTCCAACATTTTCATTTTAAATATGCTTTTTTTTATTTCATCAACATTTTTCTTAATTTCTGACTTCATTGTGAACCATTCGTCTACTATGGAGCTTATATTATTATCTTTTGATACAATAAACTTTTTCAAAAAATTACTAGATTTATTATTAATTTTTCCACCATATACGTTTTCTATTGAAGTTAAAGTCTTTAATTGAGCAGGCGGAACCACAGTATGAATCTTTTCAAAAAAAGTTTTTATATTTGCAATAGAATCATTTATTTTTTCATGATATAAAGTCCAATTACTGGGCAAATTACTCAAATCTATTTTCTTAATATTTATAATTTGATCGATTTTGGAAAAAATTTCATCTAGACTATCATTTGTTTTAATCAATTTTAATGGTTGAGATTTCATTTCTAAGTTTGGAGTAAATGTTAAATTCAGTATACTTTTGTGTAAATCAGAAAATTGGTTTTTGAAATCGGTAAAAGATTTGTTCACATTTTGTTTAAAAACTATCCAATCGCTTATAAAACTACCTGGGGGTGGTTTTTTCGAAGCTATGTTAGTGACAATATTATTTAAAGTTGAATTTATATCATTCTTAAAATTCAGCCAGTCACCTATTATAACATCATTGTACAAAGATTTCAACCGAAGAGGTGGCATCTTCCAAGCCAAATATGAAGGTTGTGACAAATTCTGACAAGAAATTATTGGATTTGTAACCGATACTGAACGCATAACATCTTTTTGTACTTCTGTTATTGTATCAGCATTATCACAAATTACACCAGCAAGACTTGTTTTTCTTATCTGCTCGAGTTGTTCTGAAATAATAAAGCAAAATAGTTATTAAAATGTAACATTACATTTTTATCATAATAAGTAGTCATGTTTTTTTGGTACTTTTTAAGTTGATTTTTCATTACTTTTTCATATTTTTTGAACAAAAATACCGATTAGTTTATTAGTTGTATACACTCAAAGAAGGTTATCGACAAAAAGACCGTTTCACAGGGGACAAGATAACTTCTGCAAATCTAAGTTTTTTTATAAAGTAGAATACACAGGGGAGAGCGGGGTGTATTGGCATGTCAAGTGAGTTGGCAAAATAGCTTATCTCTGATCCTTATCAATGTCTTGAACCAAGATAGTGCCATTACATACTGTCACGTGGGCGCACCGGGGCCAACTTTGATTCGGCAATCTCATGCGGCGCGCAAGAAGGTAATGACCATAGCTCATTAGTTACCTCTTGCGCGTTTTTCTAATTGTAGTAGTTCAGTTCTTATCTAGCAGAGCAAAAGCCGCTTCGCTTACTCTACCTGTGCGCTCTCATTCCATGTCTTGTAGTTTTTTTTACCCCCTCCTCCTCCACCATCCCACGTACCAATCACCATATTATATCACTATATATCAAACAAACACCATATATTATAGTGTTAGAACTGAAAGTATCATCTCTATAAAAGTCATTAATACAGATAAATATGCCATTTTGCCAGCTTACCTCACATGCTAACACACACCGCTCTCGCCTATACTAAATCCTGAATTATCAATAAAAAAAGTAAAAAATAAACAAAATGGTGGAATTAAATTTTAAATTGTTTTGTTTCTAAAAAATGTTGTAACAATAGAAATAATGATTGTAAAATGATGATTTTTGTTCAAGTTCCAAAAAATTTAATTATTTTTACTGACTACGTGTGTGTTTTCTAGAAAAAGCTTTTTCTCCTTACTCCACCCCTTTCGGGCACGCATCGGTAACCGTCCTTAGGCATTGCTTCGGTGTGGCCGGGGTTTGGTGAGATTTCTGCTACTTCGATATTAGTCGTTTCCATACATCCCCCATCCGTCGCACATAGTGATATGCGGTGATTAGGGGTTCAAGGACTCATCTTTTTCTACTTGGTGAACCTCCGTATCCTACAAGGTGCTATCTGTCGATTGTGGTATCCCACTTCAGGAGCCGTCTACTGCGTGTTTACATATTGCTGGCATCTCCACCTGAGTTAAGTATTCAGAAATCGCTGTCTAGGGCCATCTTGTGAGTATGGTTCTTTCTTCTGTCACCGATACTCTTTTCTGTTGTTATTTTGTGAGTTTGGTTCTCGCTTCTGACTTCATTATGGGAGTTTTGTACTCCCCGTCTATTGCCAGCTTTGTGAGTCTTCGCCTCGGGCTCCTACTAATGCTTATTCTCTTTGCTTCCAGCTCGCACAGTGATGGGGGGTTTTTACCGGCTTCGAAGACTGATAACATATCCCGGTCTTCTTTGTTTGAGTGGTACCCACTCCACGTCGGGCCTGGGCTCGATCACACTAGGGAAAAAAACGCCCTTGAATTCTCGTCCAGTGGGATCAGAACCCACCCCCTAGGCACATCCTTGTATCAGCAGGCAAGAACTATACTCACTGAGCCAAGGAGGCCTCATTTATAAATTCTGCTCTGTTTAGGTGGATGAAAGTACTTTTCTGAAGATTTCTAAGCCCCATCGATCAATATTGATGAAGAAATCAAGTCAGAATCGCGTGGTCAGTAAATCCAATCACAATAATTAGTATTATGGAAAAAGTAATGTAATTAGGATTTCAGAGCTTGGGTAGAAGTTTCATTTCGGTTAATCTGGGGTAATATGAAAATATTTTACTACTAAGAAAAAAAATTTCAACTATTTCGATTTATAAGGACATTTTAAAATATCAGCTCGAAACACTGTCTTGTCCCCTTAAGGTAGTTCCCTCAAAAAATGACTATCGATAAAGATTATTGAAATTTTAACCACATCTTATTGACAGTGCTTTTTATATGTGTGGGAAATTCCAAGAACTTTAAAAAAACCATTTCCCAAGTATAATCAATCACAGTTCGATACTTTAACATGGGATCCCTATGCTAGCGTGTTGAAAAGACGCTATTTTGTGTGATTATAAAAAAACGCATCGATAAAATCTTTTCAAAAATTAGGAGATGATTGTTTAATATGTACTGAAACATAGCACAAAACTGAAAAAACTTGACCACACAGTTTTTGAGAAAATTTAATGTAAATACATTGCAAAAATAAAAATTTTAACATTTTGATCTGAAACCCGCTCTCTAAGTTTTTGAGGGTCAATTTAAACAAAAAAGTGCTCATGCAAATTTTCTCTAAAATCTATTTTTCACGAGCTATAAACGATTCAAATTTAAACAATTTTAAGCAATGAATCCTCGCAATTTTTTATCCCAATATGTATGAACTCTATGAAAAATTTAAAAAAAAACAAAAAAGTCTTAGAATTTGTCAAGGAAAGCATATGAATTTTTTTAAGATTTTTTCTTGACATATGTCCGAATTTGTAAGTCAGGTTCTGAGAGCATCACCTTAAGGTGATGCCGAAGCCACGATTTTGACCGACCGAGCATTAAAAGTGTAAATTTAAATAACTTTTTTACTAGACTAATTTTCGAAAAACGGCTCTGTGGAGCCCTCTGTATTGATGATGTGAGCAACTGTACCAAATTTCATACAATTTCATTCAACAGTTTTTCCAGAAAACGGGATCGAAATTTTTGATTTAGGTTTTCAGTTTTAAAAATTTCGATAAAATGAGCTAAAATAATTAAAAAGTAAGTAACTCCCCCGCCCCCCTTCCTTACTTTGATTGACTTATAAGTCACATGTACGTATCAAATTTAAATTCACAAGTCTCAACTACGCACATGCACTGATGCTTAAGGTGATGTCTTGGCCACAATTTTTACCGACCGAGCACAGAAAATGTATATTTTCGTAACTTTTTTTTCAGACTGATTTTCGAAAAACGGCTCTGTGGAGCCCTCCGTAGTGTTGCTGTGAACAATTGCACCAAATTTCCGCCGATTTCATCGGGTGGTTTTTCCGGAAAACAAGATCGAAATTTTTGACTACTGTTTGCAGGATAAAAAATTTTGATCCTGTTTTCCGGGAAAACTACCTGATAACAAACGGCCCCCTTTTGTAGTCGCGCGGCAAGCGATACGAATCGTCAACGAGTCCGCTTTGCACTCGCTACCACTCATCTTCTAAGCACTTGCACGCGCTTAAAAGAGCCACATACGTTGCAATATATAATATAAAGATATTAAATAAATATATAATATAAGATATCAAAAAATATAGAAGAGTAAACGGGAGCTAATAGGAGGTATGAGTAGGAGCAAGCTTAGTAGAGTATGAGTCTTTGAATTTAGTATCTATTTGATATTGAAAAATTTTGTCTCGAACAGTTAAAAATATAATTCATTTATATGAAAAAATACGCTGCTGAAACGCGTTGCCGGTCATTTTCCCGAATCAGTTTTACCAAAAACCTTTTTCTCGATTATGCATTTTCCCGAATATATTTTTCCCGACACACAAATTTTCTCCAATTAGTGAACATAGTTTATGTTTATTTATTGTGCCTACATCACTACTGAAAAGTATGACGTATCACTACTATAACGTATTTATTAGTATGTTTGAAAAATAGAATTTCGAATCGTGCTAGTTTTTATCATAAAACTATTATCGTGAGCTAGTCTTCGTTACAACTTTGAATAGTATTACTCTTCGTAAAAAATGTCGATATTGTATTAATAGATAATATAATTGTATGGCTAAATTACAAAAAAATTGAGATATAAGAAAATTTGAAATATTTACCTTCTGTGAAAGAACCAGATTGGTTTTGGAACTCATACCAAAATCTGTCACCAAACAATAACTTTTTAAATTGATCTGAAATCAAGCATGTGAAAGTTGGCCCAAGTAGGCTACCTCCAGAAGGAATTTCTGCTAATGCACCAGTATAAAGATCTATATCTTCTACGCTTTCGTATAAACTAGATATCGCATTTGAAGACTCCAAATCTAATATTGACTTCAAATCGTTAAAACTCGCAGGAACGCTTAGGTTGCAATATTCCCTCCATTTTGTGTAACTAGGTAAACCGTGATCTCTGCCTCTTTGAATATTCAATGATACAAGATCCAATCCACAAGAAGAAGGTTTAGTTGTATTTGTTGATTGATCTTCAAATAAATGAGTGGTTAGTTGTGAGGTAACATGAGTAGACGTTTTTTGAATGAAATTTGAAATAGCAGATTTGATTGATGATTTGAGACCAGCTGAAAATGTAAAAAATTTACATAAGTGTGAAAAAATGTAAAATCGTCCTTTAATAAAAATTATTTAATCTAAAAACCAATGTTAAAACTAAAATACCAATTCTAGAAAGATTTGATTATGATTTTTTTCTGATTTTCAGCACGGCCAAGATGAAGACTCGTATGAAAAAAAAAATAGTGGCCCGAAACAATTCTCACAAAATTAGGTGCTGTTATCATACATTATTGTATAATATGTGTTTGATAATTGTTTTAAATGTTTGACTCATCACAAAAAAAGGAAACCTAAAAATAAGCTGTGACTTAAAGTTTTTTTCTCCTTCTAAAAAGTGACACATGGATATCATAGTTAACACCTCAAAAACGTATCTTGAACAGCTATGGAATCCTTCAATTGGATTTTCACGTGCACTAACGAACTTGAACATTTTAATAAGATTAACACGCAAAAATCGTGTGTAAACGTTATCAACTCATTAAATATGTCAAAAATATGATATTTTTTTTATAAAAATACATATTTCAATGTATCAGGAGCCACTGAATCGACGAAAGCATCAGTTTTGACAGTCGAGAAAAAAATTATGAGTAAATTAAGTCTCTATTCTGACAACAACTGCGAAAAGAGCAGTTTATTAACATTTGATACCCCATGAAAACTGTCAGAGACATGACAATTTTTTCTGAAAATATTTAGATGTATTTTCAGCTTCTGAATCGAACGAAAGAATCAGTCGTAACCTATTGGATCGAAAAAACTATCATTAAATTAAGCCCCTACTATACTGAAAAAATTTTGCACTGAATAATAGATCTCTACAGCGTGAATACATCTTATATTCATCAAATGAACAACTATTTATGACACAGTGAACACAAAACAGTATACTAATATTTTGAAGGGAATCATTTGTCACTGTGACAAGAATTTGGCTTCACGCGTGACGGTATATTGCGATATCGACAATGCACATATCAGAACCACCGTAAAGCCAACGCTCGAAAGCAATTACCGCTACGCATGGCACTATTTATTAGCTGGCTGGCTATAACATATAGAAAACGGATAAATTAATTTTTTTCCGTGTAAACTTATTAGAAACTGTATCATTTGATACACATATTCATGCTTATGAAGTCATTGAAACAAATCGCCACACTTATGTAGAGGTACCCACTACCCAAAACATCACCATTGTTATTTGTTCAACTAGTTAATAAGAATTATGTCGTTACTAGGCATAACTGATAAGCGATATTTTTGTTACCTTTGTAAATAATATCGATAAGTACAATAAATCACGATTATTTTACTGTAATATTTTATAAATCTTTTTTTTTTAAATAACAAAGTTTTTACAATATTTTCGAACGTATAAAGAAAATAGGCTCGTTTATGTAAGATTTTACTTAAATATAGTCCAATCGTCGAATCGACAACCAAAAGTGCTTGATAATCGCGTTCACCGTGAACTAAAATCCCTGTCACCATCGTCGTGAACTTTTTACAAGTTATAGTCCAATATAGTCCAATCGCCCCGACAACATGAAGTGCTTGATAATCGCGTTCACCGTGAACCTAAATTCCTGTCACCGTAGCCGTGAACTTTCTTCAAGTTAACTGTTGAATATAAAGTTAAGACACTATAGTGTGATATCAATAAAAGACCACAGGTGAACACGAATTCAGTGCAAAATTTTTTCAGTGTACGTTAAAAGCCTTTCGCAAAAACATTATGTAAAGTGTTTTGGGTAAAAATATGATCTAAGGATGATGATATGTGGCATAAAAAATAAGTAGCCCTAACATTGTATTATAATACCTTCAAAAATTCAAGAAAAACGCCTTTTTTTCATTTCATGTTCATCAATTGAAGTAAATCGGTATTTTATGAAATTATATTGAACCAGAGGATTGAAATTTTGTAGGTAAGAAAAAAATTACTAATGGCAATAAATTTTTAGATTTTATACTCGTACGTCTTAAAGTATTGAAATTAACCAATAAAATTTCAAAAATTGCTGTGAAAATATAAATTTTACTAATATTGATTACATGAAACTTCATAATGTAAAGGTCAGTAACTTAAAGGATACGTTTAAAATAATTTGTTGAAATGATTGTTCAAATTTCATGTGTCACTCTTACAGTTTTTTGATGGTTGGTTTGACCATCTATTTGCATAATGAATTTATTTTAACTACACTGACACTTGCAGATTGATTTTGCGAGTGTACTTTTGCTTTACAATGATTCTACTTGAACTGTTATCTCAAAGAGTGGAGTGTGAAAGAGAAGAAATGAATGACACACGAACATGAAATTTGGTTCACAAAAGCCTTTATTTATTGTACTAAAATTTACACAAATGCACTTGTAGCTAATCGAACAATAGAACAAGGGCTCAAAGGGGGCTTAAATAATTATATATTTCTATTTATAGTATTAAGCTAAAAAAGTAAAACAAATTTTTTTCATAAAACAGGCATAAGAGCCTTTTTTAATACCCTATTTGAAATTACTTTGTCCAGTAAAATAGTTACAAACAATTAAATTAACTAATATAAGTCTGTGAACCTACAGTGACACGAATTTGGGATATCTAAGCTGTTTGCCGAAAGATCCCAAGTGTTTGCATGACACGACTAAGTTGGAGGTCATTTTATTTACTTTGATGGATCATTCTCCATCAACGCGACCTCAAGCTAAGCATAAGATCAACAAGGCTCTTATGCCTGTTTTATGAAAAAAATTTTTTTTACTTTTTTAGCTTAATACTCTAAATAGAAGTATATAATTAAAACTGTTAGCTCACTATAATATTGAAAATAAAATAATTCTAAACTGTGGTAATATTTTTTTCAAAAGATTAAATAGGGGCAAGTATGACAGTCGGATCCTTATAATTATAATCTACCTTTAGATTTCTCTCTCTCTCTCTCTCTCTCTCATTTATGATATTTCTAATGTCAAATCGTCAATGATCAATTACTTAGAGAGAGAGAGAAATCATTTATTTTGGCTAAAGACATAGAGCCCTATATAGCCACAGCACAATTACAGATTTACATACACCGATCGTCAAGACTCGCAGAGAGAAAGCTCTCGTACGAGGAAACATCACATTACAATATAAAATAAAGAATAACAAACAAAATAAAAATATCACATAAAAGACAGCAAAAGATAAGGTCAACAAACTATTTACAGGTTATGCAAATAAAAATGCTCGCGCAAAGCCCTCCCGAAACAAGAACCGCGATACAATAGTCGCAGGCCCTGTGGCAGTGAATTCCACAATTGAGCGGCGTGAATGTGAAACGAGTGCTCAAAGCAGCAGGTCCGTATCACGTCGGGAAGCGAGAGGTCTAGATCAGATCTTCGGCTGCTCCGCGCGGCATTGTCCGACCGGAAGGTGAACTTGACCGCCAGGTAGGCCGGCGCGCCGTGCCGCAACACGGAAGCCAGCAGGCCCAGAGACAGGAGGACCCGGCGCTTCCCGAGCTTGAGGATCCGGAGCTCGACATATGACGGCGTGATGTGCTCAAACCTGCTGACAGCTGTGACGAAGCGCACAGCAGCATTCTGGCATCGCTGGAGCCTGGTCGAGAGCTCGTCGGACAGGTCAGCCATCAGTCCCGCCCCGTAATCCAGGTGCGGGAAGACGAGGGACTTGACGAGCATCAGCCTGGTGCGGCGTGGCAGGAAGTCGCCCACCCTCCGCATGCGCGCCCGGGCGGCAAAGCATTTCGTGGCCGTGAAATTAGTGTGCTCTCGCCAAGTAAGAGTCTCGTCGAGAACACAGCCCTGAACCTTCACGTCGTCGCGGGGTGCCAGGCTCTCTCCACAGAGCCGGATCGGCGGCAAGGCAGCAGCACGAATCCTCCGGACGTAAGGCCGGCTCCCAAACCAGATGGTCTGTGTCTTCCTGGCGTTGATGGTAAGGCCGTTTTCCTCGGCCCACCTGGACACCCTGGCGAGGTCGTCATTTATCTTACTGATGATCACCTCAGATTGGCTGGCAGGTCCTAGACAGACGATCGTGAAATCGTCAGCGTATAGGTGGTGTTTGCTGTGAAGACAGACCGAAGGTAGATCGTTGATAAACATGGAGAATAGAAAAGGACCCCTCAAGCTTCCCTGAGGGACACCCCTCACGCGATGGAGCTGCGACGACCTCTCGCCCTGGGGCCCAAGCACGATCTGAGGTCGGCGTGACAAGAAAGACTGAATCCAGGAGCAGGCCTGGTCCGAGAAGCCGTAAGACCTCAGCTTATCGATCAGCAGACCGATGTCGACAAGGTCAAAAGCGCGTGAAAAATCTATAGCCACCATTAAGACGACGTCCTTGTCCTCCACGGCCGCGCGCACGCCGTCCACCAGGTCGATGAGCGCTGTGTGTGTACTATGGTGTTCCCTGAATCCAGACTGGTGATCATCAAGAATACCGCGCTCACCTATGAATGCCTTCATCTGCTTGAGAGCGACATACTCAAGAAGCTTGGAGGCTGCGCAGAGCAGGCTTATCAGCCTCAGGTGATCAACATTGAGTGGAGGCTTACGCTTAGCCAGGGGGCGCACCAAGGCCGACTTCCAGAGGCTCGGGAACACACCGGACTGGAGAGAGGCGTTGAAAATGTCGCAGAGCACAGGCAGAGTCCTGTGCAGGCACGCAGCAAGCTGTCGCAGCGAGATGTCGTCAACACCCCTGGCGTTGGAGCGGCCACGCCTGACGGCCTCCAAAACATCCAGCTCCGTGACGTAGGAAAAGTAAAATCGATCCTCAGGTGCAATCCTGGCTGTCTGGCGGGAGTCGCGCAGGCCCAAGTCACCTGCGACCCCAACGAAATGCTCGTTCAGAGTGTCGACGTCAATCGGCAACGCAAACGAGTCACGAGCACGAGAGCCAACACCAAGCTCTCCCACTATCCTCCACGCAGTAGACGAGTCGCTGCACGACGCAATCCTGCTCCGATAAAAGGTGGCACGCGCCCGACGA